TTTTCCCCTGTTACCTTTGCTTTATAATTATTTGTATTCATGCATCTTCTCATAATGTAGGAATTGTATGTGCCAAGAAATTCCTGAGACTCATGGACATGAAACCTTAAATTGAATGTAAGAAGAAAAAGATAAGAACAAATTATAATAGCACCGAGAGCAGATTACAACAGGGTATTTGCTTAAAATGCAGTTTTCATAATATATGTTCCTGAAAATTGCAAATGTATTCTGTTATGTTTATGAGCCAACTTTTGTTATGCAGAATTATAAAGATTGCTATGTATTCAGTCTCTATGGATCCAAATGATGTGAGTTACTCAAAAAAAGAAAAGCAGGTTGATACTGTCAAAGTGGTTCTCTGAAAAAAAAAAAGAATAGAAACCTTATCATTCTCCACTTGGGTAGGATAGCATTTCTCACTGGCATGGACACCACTTCAACTGTACTAGCTGCTAGGGGACAGTGCAAAATTATGTAATTTAGACATATGAGGAAGTAAAATTAAATAGCCATGAGATGAGCATACTATTAAACAGATCTAATTTATAATGGACTCTTATGCAAATTGCCTTTGAGCACTCAGTAAAAGAAAATGAAAAGAAATTAATAAGGACAGCTCAGACTAAAAAGTTGCAGAGGAAAAAAAAAGTAAAAGCCTGTTACAGCTTACTCTCCACACACTCCAGAGTGTTAAATAAGCATTCCCATTAGCCACATAAATATAATGATGTGATAATAAAACTTGCACTTAACTTTTAAGGACCAAACTCCTAATCACTTTGCTGCAGTGGCTTCAACCAGATGAGTAAGATTTCAAATAAAATCCATTTACTTTGTCATGTGATTCATTACTGGAGGGAGAGAGATGTGTTTTCATGAGTATTTTGCTCTTTGCTAGCTGCTGAATATCCGCCCTCGGTGAAATCCAGGCAGTTACTTGCCTTGCCATTAGTATGGGATTACAGGTTCTAGGGCATCACTGATGCTCCTCCTGCTGCACAGCTCCCTCTGATGGGTTAAGAAAAGGACTTCTCACCAGTTTTCCTCCCTTTTTGTTGTCTGTGAAAGATGTGGGGAGCACAGAACTCTGGTAGATCGGAACTGTTAAAAGTAGGTTATTGCAAAATATTTTCAGTTAGTTTGGAGCTTGTAGTGTCCTCTGATAAAGATGTTAATATACTGAGAAATTATATAATGAACATATTAAATTATAAGAAACCTGTATTTTCTCAGAGAAGGAATGTTTATTTCTACCTTAGTTTGAAAGTGATGTAACACTCTTCATGTTTGCAAACATCAAGTCTTGCAGCTATTCCATGTTCCCTGGATTGTTTTGATTACAGAAATGAATAATTTTAGCTCTGTCCAGTGAAGCCATTAAAACAATCTGTACAACTCTGTCATTTTTTCTTGGCATTAAGAGAGTTTTGCAATAGTTGACTTGTTTAATTACTACTGCCCATCCTGTTCCCAATTATTGCTGCTTTCACAGATTTCCAGCAGAGGCAGAATATACTGACTGAAATCTTTTCTCTTTATGTGTATAATAACAATATATTTAAATATATATACAATGAGAGAGCAAGGCTATAAAAACACTATGTATACAGTTTTGCTGCAGACAGTATATTTTTATACTTGACAAGCAGGACTTTTTTCTGAAGAATTTGAGAAATCCTGCAAGCAATGTCATCTTCCTGTGCTGGCTTTTTGGTATAGAAATGCTGTTATGGGAGTGCTGATCTGTGGGAAGAAAGATCCATCCTTGTGGTATTTTATGGAATTAAAGCAATGATCTTTTCCATTCCCTATTGTTTTTTCTCCAGTAAACAAGGGCTTGTAGCTATACCTAGCTTGTGTCCTTTAAGTGAAACCAAATTCTCTGATGGAAACAGGGTTTTCCACTGGTTATATTTTCAACCCTTGAAGGATTCAATTTCTGTCAGTGGAATATGATACTTAAAGCCACAGACATTAATTATTACCCATTGGAGGTCGCACTTTCAACCCATGGGACGTTAATTTTCCTAATATATGGAAAATTCCAGCCTGTTAGTTTTAATTAAATATTTCAGAAGCACATTTTCTTGTAAATGGACTACAGTTTCTTATCCTTTACCCTTGATATTTGGCTAATTCTGCATATAATTATCATCTTATTTTACAAGCCTCCTTCAAAGTGCTCTCCTGTCTCGAAACTCCATTCAGCTGTTACATATTTGTCATTTAAAAAAGAAAGGTGTCTTTGCCAATCATCAGCCAACATTGTCAAGAAGGAGATGGGGAAAAACATCTTTCAGGTTTTCTTGTGAAGTGGAATTATAATGACTTACCAGTCCCTTCTTGTGCTAGCAAACTGGTGTCTCTTAAGCATGTATAATCCCAGTGTGTGACCAAGCAGGAGTGGCAGCAAAGCTATGGGTGGCGGGGAGGATGGTTATCAAATTGTATTGTACAAAGGAGGTGACAAGTGAGGCATGAGAGAGTGCTTCCCACTGTGCCCCTGGGAACACAAGAGTTCCTGCTGAGGTTGCTGGAAGCTGAGGATGCTGGTTGCTCCCCAGATCCTGGCATAGCCTAGTCTCCTCTCCTAATGGGTATAGCAAATGCAGATTAGGAGCAGGACCATATCACCAGATTTGGATCCCACAGTACCTCAGATTTTTCCCTGAAGGCCATGTGGAGGAAGCTGGAATCTACATTTTTCCATCTGAAAAGTAAAAAAGTTTTAATTTTCTTTACAGAAGTCTCTCTGCTGAGGGTCTATCCTTCCAATGCTGTTCTAACATGTGAAAGTGTATTGCAGAGTCATCCTGGGAGGGAAGTCAGGAAGGAATTGGGACCTTACAGTTCCTAGGATTTTGCTGCTGCTGCTGCTACTGCAGCGCAGCAGAGCACTAAGGCAGTGCTTTCTGTTAACACTTCCAGTCCATTCCCAAAGCCATTCAGGTCCCAGGTAGCACTCCCAGTGGCTGAGCACTCTCCTCAGCATTATGGTTTTGTCTGAAGGCTCCATCCTCTGATACTATCTTGCTCTTCTCTAAACAATTAATAAAATGGAGACAAAAAGCCTAGAGGTTTAAAATATGTAATTATAGAAGTAATTTAGAACTAGGAAAATGCTGCAGAAACCAATTACAATTATACATTTCAGTAATGACTGACTTGGCCAAATACATGTTTTGTGTGTGAATTCCGTGATAAATTTGAAGATGACATGCTTGAGTATAAGGGAAAATTAATTCCAAATGCTGAGTACTTCCATATTAGACATAAAATGTGGCTCATACACCACATGAACAGGAGCCTGTGTTATATGGGCTGTCACAGCTTAAATTTTCAGCAGCAGGGCAGGCAGTAACAAGTCTTTGAGGAAGAAAGCTCAAATAGTTCAAGGGATGGCTTTGAAAAAAAAAAGTGCTCTGTACCTGCTCATGATGCAAAATATATTTAATTCCTTATATGCTACAGATTTCATGCAACTTGAATTGATTCATGCATTTATTACAGAATTGTAAATGGCCAGCTGGGGTTAATAGACTTTTATTTCTTTTCTGGTCTCCTCCCAGCTGGTGAGAAACTATAGATGAAATTTTTATTCTGTTCACAACTTACATATATACCTGCTCCAGGCACAGACATCGTTCCAAACTCAATTTGGGTTTCCTGTGCCATTTTCAAAGGGAGGATATTTGGCTGTTGATGCAACACTGTATGGGCACCTGGAGCCATGCCCTTCTGCAGTTCTCTCTGCAGAGACCCTGCTGCAAGCCCTGCTGCCTCCTCCTCTTTGGGAGCCACTTCTGTCTTTTGCCTCTTGAACGCCTTCTGGACTTTCTGCTGGCCAGTGGATGGGGCATCACTCAGCTTGGAGGGCTGATCATCTCTTGAGTATTTGGTGGCATTTTTTTTTTATTGTTGGTGGTGGGGGTTCATTGTTTATTCACTGTTATTCACTGTGCAACTGTTTGTTGTCAAAAAGTACTTCCACGTTGCACGTAGAGACATCTGAACAGGCACACAAAATCAGACCTGCCAGTCACTCCTGCTCATTTCATTGGGAAACCACGAGTGACTCAGGAGTGTTTTGCAAATGCCCCAGTGCAGTAACAAAACATTTATTTGGTGTTACTCTGAGGGTTTTGTTTGGCTTTTCCAGCTCTTCCAATTGCTCTAACTAAAGCTGGTTTGGGAGACCCACATCCAGAAATGTATGTGTACCCAGCAGTTGATGTTGCAAAACCTGTTGCCAATTGGAGCCTCTTTAGGTGACTGTGTGGTTCTGGTGGCCAGTGGATGGTGTCTAAAAGCTGACACATTTTTCTGTATTATTTGAGTGTTTTGATTGATACCTGCCACAAGCACTTACCTGTTACATTTAAAGCATTACCTTGCATTGAAATGTTATCAACTCTGTACCCTCATCTTTATATTGCCACAATGTGCTGTCCCTCACCTTAGCCGTGCCTGCCCTAATGTTGGTTGCTATAAATGGTATCCAAAAAGTGACCTGGGTTTAACAAACAAGTGAAAACCAAGCAAAGATCCAAACCAAACTATTCCCCAAGTACAGTTTCCAAACTAAATCAACTTCCCTATGCAGTGCTCTCTAAAGCAGAATGAGTCAGTCCAGGGCATTGGAGCATCTAGAGGGGATGGGCTGTGATGAAGGGGACTATCAAAAGAGGCATCCAAAATAATTGAGGGATTGTCGTCTTATGAGGTACAGACTGGGGCAGTGACATGGTGGGGGAGGCTGCTGGCCTGGCTTCTTCCCTTCAACCTCCCCAGCTGTGCTGCTTGGAACTCAATGAGGCCATGCTGGAAAATATGTGGCTTACCCACTGTTTTGAAACTAGCACTTTTCTAATGAAAGAAAGCCACAGAGCAGCTTCAGTGAAGTTTGCATGGGAGGGTTTTGTAGTGCTGGGCTATTTCAGCAACTCTTGAGCTGAGCTTAGTCTGACTGTGCTGCTTGTCTCTTGTTTCCTCTCCAGAATTGGTCGGCTTTTCGATGGCACGGAGCCCATTGTCCTCGACAGTCTCAAGCAGCATTATTTCATTGACAGAGATGGGCAGATGTTCAGATATATCTTGAATTTCTTAAGGACATCAAAACTCCTCATTCCTGATGATTTCAAGGTGAGTTTTCAAGGAACTTGGGTGTTTTGCATGTACCTCGGTAAAGCAAGTATCTGGTGTGTAGTCGAAACAGAGCCCTGGATAGGGAAGGTGGACTTACAGGGTATGGTGTTTGATTTCAGGTACATGGCAAAAGTAAGAATGGGGTTGCTAAAGTGGTGTCTTCCTTTCCTAGAGTGGCACCAATATTAAATTTCCTCCTCCTGGCTATAGTGGTAATAAAGCAACTTTGCCAGATTTGACCTAGGGAAATTAAATGTTGTACCATACTCATGGAAACAGAAGCAATGTTACAATCTGCAACTGACTGCTCATGAGCTTTGCTGATTACTTGTCCTCTTATCCATTTTTATGCTTCCCCAGTGATTGCGGCAGCTTCAGTTTCCACTCCCACACTGAAATTCAGAAAATGGTGTGTGAATCACAATATTGACAAAATAAACTGCACACATGTTAATATTTGGACATTAAGTCATAGAATCTTTTCTCCCTCAGACTCTTGAATGCATACTGCATGTTTAATTTTGGATTTTTAGAGAAGTCAGGAATTAATAGTTCTGTTTATTATTTAAACTTTAATAAAGAGCCTGCTTTTTTTTTTTAGTTTTTAGTAATAAAATTAATTAATGGTAGTTCAATGTCAGACAAAGCCTACAGAGGCAGAGCTTCAGAATTAATGTGACGTTTATCTGCTAGTAGGTATGAGGGTGAATATGTAGTGTCTTCAATCAGAACAGATCCTTACCTTCATGACCACACATCAGTGCACATAGTTCACTGCAGGAAATGCAGCAATTGTGATTGAACAGGAGAGGTGATGTGTGGTGAGGCAGGGATGGAGCAGTTCACACTGGTATGCAGTCCTTTTCCCCTTGCAGCTGAGACAGTTTTTCAGGCATTTGGGCATAATAGGTGTGAGGCTGAGTTCAAGAGCTGTATTTCAGCAATCTTTGAATCATCTGCTGTAGACACATCCTTGCTGCTCCCATAGTGACAAGGGCAGGTCTCCCTGAATAATGTGGGAGTTTGCAGCAGACAGATAAGCATCATTTCCTTCTTTTTGAAGCCTCAGCATGGCTTTGTGCTGCTCTCGGCACTTCTGCAGGAAATCAGAAATACAGAAAAAGGAAAAGCCGCCTTTCATGCAATATGAAGAAATTACATGTGTAGAGCTTTTTAAGCACATAAATATACTGTAGCTGTGTTGAAATTAAAAATGTAATTCCTGGCAAGTTCACCCAACTGTTATGTTCAAAGGGGTGTCCTCCCCAGTTATGCTTTAAGGTGTACAAAAAAAACAGTGATTAAGATGAATAGTGTTTTTTGTTTCCTAGAAATACATAGGTTACATTACTTCTTTGTTACACAATAAATGTAAGCAGTGTTTTTACTATGATTTAGGTGTCCTTGCCAAGTATTTGGTTTCTAGTTCAAATTCAGGACCATATTAACTGTTAGCAGGCTTCTCTTGTTGTCATTCTGTTTCTCTCTCATCCCTAATTCTCATGTATCTCTTTCCTCTGTATAAATATTTTCCAAATGGTATTATGCTCTTATACCTAGAAAAACAAGATTTTTTTTTAAAAAAAAGTTATTTTTAAATTTAAAAAATGGCAGTAGGCAGACTCCACATCATCAGTTCTAAATTACTTCTGCAGTGGCTATGCCTAGAAATGCATTCCCTCTGCTCTGGCATTTGAGATGATGTAGTAAACAATACTAGTGGCAAAATAGGGAAGTATTAAAAAATACTTAATTTTTAAAATGCACTAATATGTGCAAACATTATGCAAATATCTGAATCATTTTACACTAACAAACATTGCAGGCTTCCTCATTTACATTCTTATACCTGTTATAATGCCTGCTAGTATTGCTGTAAGACACAATGGATCCTAGTGATGAATTTACTAAATCCTGATTGAATTCTGTTCCATCTGTTCAATGAGATCATTATTATATGACATCACTGTGGGGATGAAATATGGGGAAAAGTGGAATTTTTTTTTTTTTTTGCAGAAGGGAGTTAAGCAAGCATAGCCTTTCCCTACTCTTGCAAGTGCTGCTATACTCATTGCATTTCAAGTGGCTGATGGTTGTTTTTTGCTTGCACTGGTACTTTGTTACACCTTCCTACACAGTAATTAGGTGCTCTGTCCAAAGGTTTCCAGACCTAGAGCAGCGTTGGCCTGAATATTCATATACCTAAAGCACCACATTAGCAATGCCTCTCTTAATTGTGCACAGTAATGTGTGTGTCTTTCAGGACTACAGCTTGTTATATGAAGAAGCAAAGTATTTCCAACTTCAGCCCATGCTAGGAGAGATGGAACGGTGGAAACAGGACCGGGAGAGTGGCCGCTTCTCAAAGTCTTGCGAGTGCCTGGTGGTGCGCGTTGCCCCAGATCTCGGCGAGAGGATTACACTGAGTGGAGATAAGTCATTGATAGAGGAGGTGTTCCCGGAGATCGGGGATGTGATGTGTAATTCTGTCAACGCCGGCTGGAACCACGACTCTACACACGTCATCCGATTCCCGCTGAACGGATACTGCCACCTCAACTCAGTTCAGGTAGGAAGTCACATGTGCATTTTTTGAAAGGCAGCTGCTGGCCGGGTACCAGTGGGCTGACCCTATTCCATGTCACTGTAGCAATATTCCATGTTTTGTTGAGCAAATCACTTGGAGGCTTTAAGCAAGTTACTTACTTCTGTGTGTCATGTCTTTCTCCATTTATTTCATGTATCACTTTGCAAACAAACAGCAGTAGTGTTAGAATTTTCTGTGGTCAAAGGGAAAACACTTAACTTTCACTTCCAGTGTTTTTTCCTTATTTTTTTATCGCATAGTAGAGGTCTGTTGTGATTGATAGGACAAGGGATAATGATTTAAACTAAAATAAGGTAGATTTTTACTAGATAAAAGGGGGAAATTTTTTCGGTGAGGGTAATGAAACACTGGAACAGGTTGCCCAGAGAGGTGGTGGATGCCCCATCCATGGAGATATTCAAGGGTCAGGCTGCACATGGTTCTAAGCAGCCTGATTTAGTTAAAGATGTCCCTGCTCATTGCAGATGAGTTGGATCTCTAAAGGTTCCTTTCAACCCAAAGTATTCTGTGATGCAGTGTAGCAATGTCTAAAATCAGTAGATGTTATGAAATGGGTAAGAAAAAAATCTGGGAGACAAATGGAGGTCATTCCTGGAATAATTATAATCAACTTCAGTGTTACTGGAGTTATCTTTTGTTGGTTAAAAGCAACCAGCCTCAGACATTTGCCTGCCCCTAGTTAGCACATCCTGCATAACCAGCACTTCCCATGTGAAATCATCAATGGCACAATCGATGCTGTTTGGTTTAAATGCACCTCCTAAATGCTGCAGGCTCATGGGTGAATTCTTTTACAGAACAGGCTTGCAAGCTGGGCTTGGCATCTTTTCCTCTGCCAGGTCCCACTATCCAGATAGAGAATCACAGAGTCATCAAGGTTGGAAAAAATCTCCAAGATCAACCAAGTTCAGCCTTTGATCAAACACCACCACATCAACTAAACCACAGCACAAAGTGCTACATCCAGTCATTTCTTGATCATTTCCAGGGATGGTGACTCCACCACTGCCCTGGGTAGTCTATTCCAATGCTGAACCACTCTCATAGTGAGGAAATTCTTTCTGATGTCCAGCCCAGCCAGTGAATATCCCTGGTGCATCTTGAGGCCATTTCCTCTTGACCTGTTGCTGATTTCCTGGTAGAAGAGCCTGACACCTGCCTTGCAATAGCCTCCTTTCAGGAAGTTTTAGAAGGTCACCCCTGAGCCTCTTTTTTCCCAGATGAAGCAAGCTGAGCACTGGGGCACACTCTGAAGGCTGGCCAGGCACTGCACTTGTGCTAGCACTTAATGCAAGGGTCTAGATAGACCTATCTAACCTATGTTATGTTTGGACAGCTTCCTCTTACTGGCTTTGACTGTCATGTTGAAACATCAAAATTTTTTTGTCATAAGGATTAATGCAAATTTAGGACAGCCTTAGATGTCAGATTACAATTGAAAAGGAGTTTCAAGGATGGCTCTCATATATCATATGACAGTTATCAAGGCAGTTGTATCCTTCAGCACTTTGTCACTTATTCTGATGCTTATGTTTTTGGTGCCTAAATAAGAATTACAAATCATATTTACTGATGGGAAAAACCGGAGAGGTAATGATCCCACATTGATAGCAGGAGGATGTAAACATCTCCCAGTACTAATGAAAATGGGAGACAGGACAAGGACTACCAACAGGCCTGAAGAATGAGGTACAGACCAAATGGATTGTCCAGGGCTGTATTAGTGTCCAGAGTTGCTTCCACCATGTTTTTTATCAGAATCCAAGTTCTCCTGTTCTTTTTTTAGTGGCTTGCACTGACACATTTGGGTAGGGGCAGGGGATTTTGGAATATATTGTTAAAAGCTGAAGACCACATGTGTTTTGATCACTGTTTCAAAGTTTCTTTTCCTATCCCTTCGTTTTTCATGTGACTGCTGGGCAATTAGCTGTGTTCAAGTACTTTGGAAAGACATTTGCCAACCTGAAGCATTTTATGTAAAGACATGACATGCTTCTTTGAAGCATTTTTAAATCTCAGCTTGCTTCTTTCCCTGCCCTAGTCCTTTGCAGTCTTCTGTCATTCTGCTTGCCAGTGTTGTTCCAGTACACATGCAAGCCAATTTGACAACTGATGAAACAGCTGGGAAAGCTATGGTAGGCACCTGATTCCAGCACCACCCTTGAGGTCTGGTCTTGCTGAATAGAGGGTCCCACATCCTCTGGGGTCCAGAAGCATCAGCCCCTTCCTTGGGTTTGGTGGCTGTCAGGCTGACCCTGGTAAATCCCAGGAAGTCTCCTCCACAGGTGAGGCAAAGGAAGTCCAGAACAGGTGAAGATGATGGATGATAAAAGCAACAAAGAGTTGGTTTTTAAGTCTCTAGTAAATATCGTGGTAGGTTTTCTGAAATTATGACTTTTGTTATCTACACTGTCACCATTTCATTGTGGTGTTTGCTCAGAATTTGCTGTGCAGTCATGTATTTGCCCTTTTGTATTGTAAATTCTGTGAAGCAGAGAATGTGTTTTTCTAGTCATGCTCCTGTGGCCAGAAGAGTGGATTGGTTGGCAGTACTAAAAAAATAAAATAATTTATTCTTCATTTTTTCTTTTCCACTGCTCAGTGGCCATAGTCAGCAGAAATCAATCCAGTACAGTTAAGCTATGTAGCCACTTTTTTTCCCCCTAGCTGAATCCATTTGAAAACAGCAGTTACCATCATCGGACAGCAAATAGTCTGTTAATTTACTTATACATTGGTATTTGTTTCCTCTTTTTTGCAGGTACTTGAGAGGTTACAGCAAAGAGGATTTGAGATTGTTGGCTCATGTGGAGGTGGGGTGGACTCTTCCCAATTCAGTGAATACGTACTGAGACGAGAACTCAGAAGGACATCTCGTGCACCCTCTGTCATTCGAATAAAGCAAGAGCCTCTGGACTAAAATGGACATGTTTCTTTATGCAAAAAAAAAAAAAAAAAAAAAAAAAAAAAGAAAAAAAAGAGGAAAAACAAAAAAGGGGACATTTCATGTGCAGTTTGGACTCCAAACAAGTCCTGGAACTAAAATTGAATAAAAGACACATTTATATCAAATATAAAGACCACACCTGAATTCATATGGGAACACTTGGAATAGTAGTGATAATAATAATAACCTCAAGGTATAAAAGAAAACACACACACACATTAAAAAATATGTATGTATATGTATGTCTGTACATATATATATGTATGTATATGTCAAAGGGTAGGAAATGCAATGACAAAATGTGGTAGATGAGGTTGGTGCTGTGATGGCCATTAAGTGTCCTAGGCCCTTCCCGGGCCCACTTAACGGTGAACAAGCCATTGCTGGGGGGGATTCATGGACTGTTCTTCACCCATTTTCATTACCAAACAGCCATCCACTTTTTAATGTGTACACACCTTGACTCAACTTTATTTGCATATGGAAGTTTATGTCTGTCTTTTTTAGAGGTGGATGGGCAGGTGTTCAGGAGACAACCATCCATTGCATTGGAAAGCTGAAATTTTAAATGTAGTTTGTACAGAAGTCGCACACTTTTTGTCAGCCCTCACAGATGTGAAAGGTTAACTTTTCTTTTGAATGAGTTTTTTTGTTGTTTTGTTTTGTGTTTTTCAAAGGGGGCCAGAATAATTAATATTTGGTAGAGATGCTCTGGTTTGAATCTGCTGCTTTCCTACAATTTTTTCAAATTTTATAATGTATTAAATACAATAAACTCCTGTTTAAAATAACAAGGGTCTGGTTTAAGCCAACAGAAGCAGAGAGGTGGGATGGCACTGCACTCCAGCATGTAGAGGGGCAAGGCAGTGGGCAGGCGGAGCTGCCTGCACAGGATGGAGTGAGTTTAAGGCAGCAGAGGCTGTTGAGGGACCTTGTGGTGTGGTGCACATGGCTGCTGTTCCTTCAGCACTGCCCCAGTTGGAAGAGAAACTGTTGGTCAGACATGAAAATAACACCAGCTGAGCCCAGGGAAACCCATCCAAAAATGACACCTGGTTCTGTAACCTTCAGTGTCACAGTGAATCCTTGCATCATTCCCTCTTGATCAAGGAGTTGGCAGCTTTGACTCTCTAAGCCCTTGCCTTGCTGAGTGTTAGTTAGCTTGTTTGGCTTTAAGGTTCCTCATTTCCCTCATTTCAAGCTGTTGTTCTTCTGTCTAGAGAGTGACATGGCCAGCCCCTTGGGTTAGCATCGGCTGCGTGTCCCTTGGCAGCAGGCAGTAATTCCACATTCTGCGTTACATGTCCTGCGAGCTGCTCTCTTGCAGAGTCTCACTGCGGCCACCTCTGCAGGCAGGGGCTCCAGGCCTGTGAGACTTTGCACAGGCACCACATCCCGATGCCACTGCACGGACCACTCATGGGTTGATGCACCAGCAGCCACCACCTTTCCTCCAAAGTCTCTTTTTGTGCACTGTTACAGAATATGACTGTGTGTTCATCCTAGTATGGAAATTTCTATCAACACAATGGTGCTGGCATTTCATTCATTTTGGTGGCACTTTGCTATTTATTTAAGAAAATTAAAAAAAAAACAAAAAAAAAAGAAGATTTTAGATACATGTAACAAGGTTTCCAACATAGTCTAACTAAAAAAAGAGCAAGTTACATTTTTTCTGGTTTTTATTAAAATGTGTCTGAAAACATCTTTAAATAACTGGCAGCACATATCAATGGTTTGGAATTACTGAAATGTGAAAATGGGTGAGGGAGGGGCCTCTAAAAATTAAGATTCATTAGTGGGTTATTAGATCTTCAGTGTGATGCTGATCTGTCTATTCACAGTACTGAAACAGCTGCCTCATTGAAAATTCTTGTTTTCAATTAGCAGCAAGAAGTCCTCTTACAAAATAAACAAATGCTTGCTTTTACTGCCCACAATTTGGTTGTTAGTCTGCATAGAAGTTGGAAAGCTAAAACCCAGGGAAATAAATATTTTTAACAGATCTTCATACCGTTGGAAGTGATGAAATTTGTGATGTCCAAAAATATGCCGGTCCCCATGGGTTTGAGAGTCCATGGGTGCCAGTGCAAGGTGATGTGATTCTTCAGAGACTGCTGTGCAGGCTGGAGCTGAGGGGTGTGCAGCTCCTTTCCCTGCTCCTTGGCAAGCAGGCACTGCAAGCCTGCCTGGCCAGGAGCATCAGCAGGCCCAAAGGTGTCCCCCCTGTGCAGGCAAGGGGGCTGCACTGCCTGCAGCCTCTGCACAGGCAGGGACTGGGAGGCAAGGAGCTTTCCTCTGATGCTTTCCAATATGTGGCTCCCAAAGCCAGCAGGTTGTGCTCTGCTGGTGGTTCTGCTTGCTCAGCGTGTACCTGTCCAAGTCAATGACATTACAGATACCACTGTGCTCCTTCCAAATCCTCTGCTGGCTGGGCACTCTCTCACCAAGCCTGCTTTTGTTGTTGATGGAGCCAAAAATCCCTCTGACACCCTGAATGTAAATTTCTCTGCAGTTACAATGTGGTCATGGAGTAAGAGGTCATGAATATTCAAAGTAACGGCTGATGAAAAATGTATGCAGGAATAAACTGGCTGTAGATTTTTAGAGAGAAAATGAGATTAGTCCAATTGTTTGCAATAGAGGTTTATAACCATATGTTTTTAAAATGTTCTTTAGAAAAACTGATCAAAAAATGGGCAATTTCTCTGGGAATGTGGTAGGGGTGGGGGAACCAGGAAGGACCAGATTACTGTCAGCTTGTCTCTGGAGGTTAGTAATTTTGACATCTAAATTTATCTAATTTTTTATTGGAAAGTGTTGACTCCGTTTTATACCATCAGTATATTTAATAACAGAGGCAGAACTGCAGTGAGCGGTAGCTGCCAACGTTGTACTTCAGCAAGTTGGTTAAGCAGCTGTCAGGAGAACTCCTGCAGACATGCAGAGATTGCAGATGGCACCAGCTCCCCTTCCCACAGTGAGACACAGGCAGAGGAATTTGGTTCTCACTTTTTCTTTGGGCAGTGTGAATGCTGGATTTCTGCAACAGCCATCGACCCAGGGTTTAGTTCTTCCCCTTAATGTACCAAACAGATGCGTAATGTAAGTATGGATCCTGGCACGCCTGGATGAACCTTAAAACTGAGTGTCCCATTGAATAGAAGACTGAGCTAATTTACTCTGTGCTGGAGAAAGTGAAGTCCTACTTTGTCACTGGGTTAATCTCTCTTTCTAGAAGCAGCACTGGTAAATAGGTGCTGCTAGTTTATTCTGTCTTCAGGTATGTACTATGAATTTTCCCTCTCCGTTGCCCCATGTCTATAGAAGGAAGCTCATCATCTCAGTGCTTGACTGGCACAAGCAAGTTGAGTTGACGCATTGTTTTATGATGCCCACTAAAATGCATCACGAAAACCAATGGGGAAAACTTAGTAAACTCTGAAAACATGAAAGTTGAACCACCCATTCAATTATTTTCCTTTATGCTGAACAGGCACTGAATTCAATTTGAAGTCAAACATTTTGTTCATAAGCATAATTTTTTGCAGCAAGCTTTAAAAATTGATTTCTATACTAATTACAGGGTTTTTACTGACATCCAAATGACTTGTCAAGTGGATTTTTCTTTAATGTTTCCATTGCATGAATTGGGGAGGAGGGAGGGGGGGAAGGGTTGGATTTTGGGGGTTGAGAAAAGCGTTTTTATTGACCGATGGACAGTTTTTCAGAGAAATAAAAACATTTATTTCCATCTGTCATTTCTTCACTGCAGAATTCTATATTATGAATTATTTCTATGGACAACTGGTATTTGTATGCTGGCATTCAAGCTGCCTGAGGTTTATTTACAGTGGAAGTGAAACCAAGATATCCTTAGGGCCTGTAGACCAGTTGCTTTTTCTCAGATTTCAGTTTGAATGGTTTATTTTTTCTTGAGGGTCTGGAGGGATTGCCACCACCAAAAATCAATATGTCGCACCAGGTCCCAGTGTTGGCTTTGGCTGCTGCCCCATTGATCTGTTTTTTTGAAGACCCCAAAACTGACTTAGCATATGGGATCATCTATTTGAGGCTGAAACTGCTAAAATCATAAGCCTAACTCCTCTCAAAAATAAAAAATGCAGGCATATATTACACAAGTTCATCCTCTTGTAAGCTGAGCTAGCTCTGCTAGCTGGTAACCAGGATGTTAACATTGATGCTGTGGGGAAACCCTAGTGCTAGCCTGCTGAAGCATCTTCTATTTGCACAAGTAAGAGCTCCAGAAATGGAAACATCCTCTGACAAATGGAGAAAAGCTCACTTCTCCTTGAATCTGTTTTGGGTTTTTTGTTGTGTTTTGTTTTGGGGTTTTTTGTTGTTGTTGTTGTTTTTTGGGGGTAGTGTTTGTTTGCTTTGGGTTTTTGTTTTGGTTTTGTTTGCTTGTTTGTTTCACATTTTTTGACTAGAGATTTAACAGGAGTCCTGTGCCCCTAAAACAACAGGGGTGTAAAATTTTTCAGGTGATGTTGGAGATTATGGGCCAGATCCCATCTTCTGCCCTCCATACTCATGGCAAACCTGCCTCACACCCCAGTCAGAAGCTGAAGGAGTGCAATGTGGTCATGGGCTGTCAGTGTCATTGCATCCACAGAAATAGTCTGTCATCTCTGTTGCTTCTAAAAATAGAGTATTTTCCACTGCAGGTCAGAGGAAGTATGGGTTGCTGAGACTCTTCTCTCAGCCTCATTAAAGCCCCATATACATGAGGTCTCTCTGGAGAGGCTGTTGCTAGTATGAGCAGGCTGGATTTGTACTTCTTGGGGAGCACGGAGTGCTGGTGCTGTAGCCCAGCCCATTGGTCCCTGTCCTGTGGTCCTCAGAGCACAGCTCTGGCTTGCTGGTCTGAGGAGAGATGGAGAGAGGGACATTTGTCTCTGTGCTCTGGAGTTTGGACTGATAAATGATCTCATCTAAAACCCTAAATGGTCTTGTGGCTTCTACTGTGTAGCTTGTCAGTGTTGTTATTAATTTTCCTGAGGAAAATGTGAAACATGGGATGGCTGGCCTTGCCTCCTTACCATTAGGATGCAGACTAAAAGACAGGGTGACATTGACTTAAAGCAAAAACTGCATGTGCTGAAGTCCCCTAGACTCATGTACTGCATTCATTCTGACTTCAGATCAAACCAGAGGGCTCAGTGAGGCTCACCAGTGGATGTTTGATACTCCATTTGATTAACTGCCAAGAAATTGCAAAAAACAAAAGGCGAAACACGCAGAGCATGGATGCTTGTTCTGAAGATCTGGAGCCATAATTCCACTAATCCCTGCTGCTTCTGAATAAATATTTCAGTTCTGGGTGGCTTACATTAAAACCAAAAGCAGCTGTGCATTTCTTTCCCTTGCTCTCTCCAGTTCAGGAGGCTTGTTTTTCTTCTGCTGGGGGCTATGCCTGGGCAGCTCAAGAGTAATAACTTTGGCCCTAATGCAGTGATGGTCTCTTCAAAGCATTGTACAGACCTTCAAATAGGCATCTCTCTACTTCTAAGGGAAGAAGGCAGCAATAAACTCACCTTGCAGCTGGGAAGGCTGAAGAAGTTTGACTATCACTCACTTGGGTCTCAAACATCTGGAGTCCCACTTTTCCACAAGCCCTCTTGCAGTATAGAAAGAGGTGGAAATCAAGGAGGAACTGTGACACATTTAGGTTTTTTTAAGCTGAGAGTTAGAAGCTATTTAAGCACATAGAAGGCATTGCTGGGTTGTCTGAATGAGCTTAAAATGTTAGCATTACAACCATGTTAGG